TGTGAAATGTCTAAAAATCCTGATTGAAGTATCACTATAAATAGTTATAAATTATAAAAAGAAGGCTTAAAAAGATCGGTATTGGTAATCGGTATCGGCAGATACTGCTTTCTGTGATCGGCCTCAAAAATCATGATCAGAGCACCCCTATTTGTAATCTATGCATCGAGAAAATGAGTGAAACGTTACACCCCTAAAATTTAGGAAAACAGTAAATGATTTTATAGGGCCCTACACATGCTATTTGTGCTTGTGATTGGTTTAAAAAAAATATATTGATTTCTCCAGATATATCAGATCTCTTTAGCTAAGAGTGATTCAAACCCCTACTTTTATGCTATCATTTACAAATTTTACAATTAATTTTGCTAACATAAGATACTTTTATCTATTTTAAAACAACTTTTTTACTTGCTTTTTATGCAATCATCTACTCAATAGCTACATAATTTAGTAGCAAGTATCTTTTTTGTTACTACTAGCTGTCATTATATAGCTTTAATTACTGATAATCACCTTCTTTTTAGATCATTAGCCAGCAAATCCTTGGTAAACATGGCAAGGGTAATGAAAGTCGCAAGTATGGAGTGTTGCTTTATTTAATCGTTCCAAATAGCTGCTCAAAATGAACCCATTCACTGGTTCTTATGTTCGTTACATTTTGGATTTGATCGAAAGTGGTGGTGACGAGTTGAATTGGTTGAGTTGTTATTTCTGTAATTACTTGATTCTTCCACAAGTGTGATCTATTTGAGCTGATTTGTGGATGAGTTTCAGTAGGTGGGCATTATAGCATTGATCAGCCAGTCATACTGCCCAGGAGGCACCTGTTGTGTTTTGACAGATTTAACCATTTCAGCTTATTTTAAGGACAACCATCATATATGTTACTCAATCAGCAGCACTGTCAATAACACATTTTTATTGCTCATACACACATGGCTACTCCTTCGGTGTGTTCATGTAATGATGTGCTCTTCATGCTCATCTTCTTAATATGCATTATTCCTACCCACAATGTCCTGCTCTCTCCCCATGCTTCCTTCCGCCTCCTTGATTGGGCTCTGATTATGATTGCTCTTGATTGTGCTGAAGAAGGTCTGTTGATGTTGTTTTCATTGCTCACCTGTGTCATTCTGAGAGAGACTTTTGAGGCACATGCAGGAAGTGCAATAGCTGTTTGCGTGTGTGTAAATAAGGTGTTTGATATGTCACCACCCTCAGCCTGCAGGTAAAGAACAGTGAAGAGCTCTCCACTAAAGAGGCGTCTGAGGCTTTGTTCACACTGCAAACAATTTAGATTTGTTTTTCAAATGTCCCCACTAAAATATCTCATTAAATAGGGATTGCTCTTGTGTAGAGTAAAACTTGACCGCAAGCCATAGTGTTGTTTGTTGTGTGAGCTTATTGTTCTTTCGCGACTTTTTGAGGTCTTTTCTTTGAGTCAAATGAATCGGTTCAGAATCACAAAAAACAATGTGTATTTCTGAATCCAATTCACTTATAAACATATTTTTTATCCAGTAATCACAAACAACTGGAGGGTGGGGGGTCATGTAGGAAATGCATTGAATAAAATAAAATATGGGAACCTTTTAATTTGTCATTGTTCTGTTTTTATAGCCTATTTACCCGAGTAATTTTGTACAACCCATTTTATTTCAATTTAAAAAATATTCAATATTGAATACAAGTATAATATATATACAGTTCACTGCTTGAGTGTTTTCCTTTATGATCTAAATATGTGTGCATGTGTAATATATATGTGTGTGTATATTATATATATATATATATATATATATATATATATATATAATTTCTAAATTTTATCTCGTTATTTCATCTCATTTTTAAATTTAGTACATTAATAAATTAATATGTTTTCTAAATAAAGGAATTCCACAGCACATTAGGTTTTGCTGTGGTATTAAAATCTGTATCAAGAATCGTGAAACATCATTAGTATTGGATTCAACTACTAATATTTTGGTGTTATGATGGTCATTCCATAAAGAGATGTACATTTCCTCTATACAGATATTAAAAGGAATATTTCCTTTTGTCTTCTTTTCTCTTTCCAGGTCCAGCAAAACCATGAACCTTTGCTCCAGATGTTTTGCTGGTAAGATACTTTCATCACATGGTCTATATAATTACGATTATACTTGAATCAGTGCGTCTGAGAGACTCTCACGCTCGCTGTTGTCTCCATCAGACATACAAAAGAAACAGCCAGATGAGGACTGCACTCCAGAGCCCGCCCCCAGCTCAAGCAATAGCCAATCAGCAGTCTTCTGTAACGAGGCGAGCAGCAGCAGTAGCCAAACCCTGTCCTCAAAGCCAGCCAGCTCTGAAGAGCCCTCGACAGAAGCCACACCTCTTCCTGCACAGGACGGTGAGGACACACATATTCTGTCTTCTAATAAAGGAGATGATATTTCAGCGCTCATCGCATCTAGTCTCAGATGGGCTCTAATCATTTTAATATCACACAGCAGTCATAGAGAATGATAGACCACTGACACATAATACTGCAGATGAAAAAGATCCACGAGTGTATTATAACGTGTTTGTTTATTAACTTTTGGGAATGTCAAATGCCAAAATATGAGTTGAGGACAACCAGAAAGTCTGAAACCTTAGAGATGTAGACTAGTGGGTTCTCAAACTGTGGGTAAAACGCTCCAAAATAGCAACGCCAAGGTCATGGGTTTGATTTCCAGGGAATGCATGAACTGATAAATGCAATGTACGTCGCTTCGGATAAATGCGTTTGCCAAATGCACAAATTTAAATCTTCTATCATTCTCTCTCCCAGAAGTCTCCAGTACAGACACAGCTCGCGGCACGCTATCCACTCCTACAAAACGACCCTGCGACTCAGGTACACCTCACCACCGCTCTTGTGTATGTGTGTGTCTGACAGCTTTTAATAGTCTAGCACATCACACCGCTGAGGAACTGAGTTGTAAATGTACAGCAGCATACAAATGTGGTTATAAAGACTCAAAGCAGCTGTTTGAAGGTAATCAGGTGTTACAAACTGCACAAAAGTTATCTTCATCTGGAATGTTTTGTTGTACCATTTGTCCTACTATTTTGTTTTAGAGAACATAATTCAGTTAATTTAAAAATCCATTTGTCAAGATTTAATTTTTTTGAGTCATTGTAGAATTATGATGCATCATTACTTTACACATTCCTTACCACCTCTCCACCCACAAGAAAGAACAGTTTTAAAGTTGTAAAACCACTGAAAGCTCTGGTTTACACTGACTAACCAAGGTCAGAGGGAGATAAATCAATAGAGTTGAAGCTCTGGTCAAACCATGCTGCATTATACCCATTTCATAAGACTGGGTGGTATGTGGTATGGTATGTGTGTATAT